GTCGATGGTCGTGGATGAGATGAGGATGTCGTGCCAATTGGAGCATCCGGTGTACTTCATGACGACACGTCACTTAGTGATGCCTGCTGGTTGATCTTTATCAACATCAACACGGCCAGAAAAAGTCTCTCGCGTCGGCACGCCTCATAAAATACGTCTTGTGCTGGGAGATGCCCGCGTGTTTCAGCATAACGTTCACGGTAGTCACGGCCGCGATGACGGCGGATGTCGTCGCAACGAAAACGGTGAACACAGTCCATCCTGGACTCGGCGTCCGCTGGCAGCTGGTATCCATCCTCGAAGGCCATGTCTTGAGAGCATGCTATCCTAGGAGTCGGGGCTGTGAGAGCCCAAACTGTGGGCCAAGACTTGATATAATGCCTTGAACCAAAATGGCGACGGAGTGCGAGTGTGCATGAGTATGAATGAGTATGAGGGTGAGTGAGTCTGAGTGTGAATGAAGCTGAATTAAGTCTGAGTGTGAGTCTGAATATGAGTATGAGGAGTATTAGTCTCAGTATGGGTGAGCCTGAACACGAGAGTGTTCGAGTATGAGTGGGTCTGAGAGCTGGCGAAGTTAAATGGACGATGCTACGACTGCGAATTAGCATCAGTGTTAGCGGACCTGAGTGCGAGCGAGTCAGAATGCGAGTGGGTCTAAGTACCAACACGTCTAAGTATGAATTGGTCTGAATATGGCTGAATCAGGATGTGATGGGTGGAACAGGCGGGCCAATGATATACCCCCTGCCCCCCCCCCCTTGGGGTGCTGGAGCTGGGACCTCGCCTGAGACATCCTCACAATCTGCGATGGCCACCAACACAATCAAACCGCCTAAGACGTCCCCACCACCTGGCCGCGTACGGGACTTTGCAATACCCCTGGCGGCTCAACCTTGGGGTGCTGAAACCAGCGCCTCGCCTGAGACGTCCTCGCAGTCTTTTCTGAAACCGCAGGATCTGGTGACCAAAACGGGCAAACCGCCCGAAACACCACCGCAATCTGGACGCGAACACGCCCGTGCAATACCCCTCGGCGGCTCCCAACTTGGGGGTGATGAATCCAGCGCCTCGCTTGAGACATCCTCGCCGCCTGCTCCGAAAGCAAGGGCTGTTGGCCACCTACACAGGCGAATTGCTTGAGACATTCCCACAATCTCGGCGCGAACGGGACCACTCGGCGGCCGACCCTTCGGAGTACCGAAACCAGAGCCTGGCCTGAGACATCCTCATTCCCTGGGCGCGAACGAGGATCTAACTGCGAACGAGTCTGCTTGTTATGAGTAAGCCCGAGTGATCCTGTGCGCGGGAGAGAAAGAGAGAGACAGAGAGAGAGAGAGAATCTGAGTATGAGTGGGTGCGAGTACGTCTGAATGCGAGGGAATCTGAGCGTGAGGGAGTCTGAGACTGCATGAGTCTGAATGTGAATGAGTATGCGTGTGAGCGAACACGGGCATGAATGGGTCTAAATATGAACGAATCTGCGTGGGTCTGCGCGAAACCGAGCGTGAGCAAACCGGAGTGTGAAGAGTGGGGCGGAAGAGGAAAAGGAGGAATGAAAACGAGCCGGCGTGGTCTGAGTGATCACTCGACAAGGAGAGACACGTAGATTCCAACATGTGCATATCATATTTCGGCCACGCTTCGCTGGGAAACCCTGCCTGTGAGCGTCCGGGTGCGAGGGCGAATCCGCGTGGACCGCGACGACGACGACGAGGACACCGACGACTTCAGTGACGTCCCCTCCTCCTCCCCTGGACATTTTTGAAGAAAGAGAGGGGGGGGAAATACAGGTGAAGAGCGAGGGAACATTGAACAATCAAAATGCAGACGACTGTCAGTTCATCTGAACGTGGGTGATATGACTGCGAGTGAGTCTGGGTGTGGGTGAACCCACTCATGATTGAAATTGAATGTGGGCCGATCTGAGTATGAGGGAGATCAGAATATGGGCGCGTCAATGTATGAACGAGTCTGAATATGAAGGAGGCTGAGTGTGAGTGAGTTTCAGTTTGCGCACGTCCGGTCGGAATTGGCCGCGTCAATGGCGAAAAATTGGCGAGGTGTGGTGAAACATTGGCGTGAGTGGGTCTGAATCTGATAAAACATCCTACGATCTGGGCGCGAACGGGTTTGTGTCATACCCCCTGGCGGCTCCCCCCTTGCGGTGCTGCTCGCCTGAGGCATCGCCACACTCTGTTCTGAAAACACCAGATGTTGGCCACCAATACAAGCAACCCGCTTGAGACAATCCCACAATCTGGGCGCAAACAGGCCCGTGTCATACTCCCTGGAAGCTTCCTTTGGGGGTGCTGGAATCCCAATGGGGCCACGATCCTAATGAACGGTGCACCGAAATTGCCCGAGGCCGCCATGCGAACCCTGTCACTCGGGCCTTCGGTAGAGCTCCCAATGGGGCCGTTATGGGTGTGTCGAGAAGGCCCGAGGCCGTCATGCGAACCCTGCCACTGGAGCCTTCGGTGAAGCTCCCTATGGGGCCACGATCCTGTGAGGGGTGTGCTGAAATCACCAGGGGCCGCAATGCGAACACTGCCACTGGGGCCATTGGTGGAGCTCCCAATGGGGCCCCGATCCTAATGGACGGTGCACCGAAATGGACCGAGGCCGCCATGCGAACCCTGCCACTGGGGCCGTCGGTGGAGCTCCCAATGGGGCCACGATCCTAATGAACGGTGCACCGAAATTGCCCGAGGCCGCCATGCGAACCTTGCTGCTCGGACCGTCGGTGGAGCCCCCTACGGGGCCACGATCCTCGTGAGGGGTGCCGAACTGCTTGTCATGCGGAGGGCAGCGGCAATGATGGGAGAAGGGAGTACAGTGGAGGCGAGTCCACAAGAAACCTGCCACAAGAAACCCAACCCTGAGACCCCAGGAAGTCAATCGACTTTTGACGAGGAAGCGCCACGCTTTCCGAAGACATCCAGGGCACCCTGGAGGCAAGCAAGGTGTCTCTTGGCGTGGGCCTCCACCGTATGGGCGAGGAGGGGAGGCGGGGCACGAAAGGCACCGTCTCCTCAAGACGAGGACCCAACGCATCGCAGAACGGCCGGGGAGCCATTCCAAGCACACTGCCTCGAGCTCCGGGGCATGCCCTGGCGCCCCGCGACCACTGCGCACGGCGCTCGGCTCGGCGGGGACGGCGGGAGTGCCCTCGTGTTGGAGTGCTCTCTGCGCACAGGCTGGCCGCCCCTGCCAAACTGCAGCTCGGCATGCACCCGGCCTCCAAAGTGGGAGCACGCGGGGGCGCCCCGCGACGGCATGGGCGTCTGGCAGGGATGCTCGGGTGCTCCTGGTGCGTTGGGGCAGGCTGGCGGGAGTGAGCAAGGGGCGGCGTGCGCCTGGCGGGCGGGAGGTGTCGAGGCAGGTCCCCCTGACCCCCGTATCCCCCTTGGTCTGGACAGGTGGGGCGTGGTGTCAGAGGGTTCAGAAGGTGCCAGTCTCACACTACTAAAACAACCCACGATCGCCCACTTCGGCTCACGATGGCTCCGGGTAGTCTCCAACATGCTCCGATAGACTCCAAGACTACGCCACGACGGCTCCGAGGAGGTGATGGTTGGGCATCCTGCGTGGAGGCTGCAATTCATGCCACCCTCGTTGTTTCGCCGTTCTACCCCAGGATGTCGCACAAGGTGTCCCGAGAAAGACCCAAGGAGGCCGCGCCAGATCCTCCCAGGCTCCCAACTGGACTCCTAGAGAGCCAGCGCAAACCAGTGCCAAGATGAACCTAACTCCACTTGTGACATCAATGTCTAGTTATTTCTCTACTTCCCTCCTGCCGAAGGCTCTCATGGGCATCGTGTCTTGATAGGCTGGGGGGATGCGCAAAGCCTTAACATTCCCCGTCCTTTTGGGCGCAGGTAGTTTAACTACTTCGCTCCTTTCCCTCATTCCCAAACCAATGGCTGTCCCTATTCGAGCCCCTGCCAACTCCCCTGGTTATGGACCCCCCCGCCCCGCGAACTGCCAGGGCGCCAAAGATTACCCAAGATGGATCCACCATGGCCCAAGCCACTCCAAGATAGCCTCCAAGATGGCACAGTGTAGCCCAAGATGGCTCAAGATGGCTTGCAAGATGCCTCCAAGAGGAGCCAAGACCGCCGAAAGAAGGTTCCATGTGGCCACGGAGATTTCGAAGGAAACCGCCGAGAGGCAAACATCCTTCGAACCCCAACAGGAAATACACACAATGCCTTCTCGTTTGCCTGCTCCCGACGATGGGCTTCTGAGGCTTCAAGATGAACCAAAGATGGCCCAAAACAGCCACAAGAGGAGCTCAAAATGGACCCAAGACGGCCCAAGAGGCCTCCAAGCGGCGTCCATGAGCGCCCCAACATGCAAATGTCTGCCTCCGATGAGGGGAGAGCTAATTTCTGCCTCGTGTGTTTAAGAATTCGAGCCCAAACACAATCCAAAAGGGGACCAACATGGCCGCAATATGGCCCCAAGAGGCTCCCCGAGTCTCTCACTTCACAATTGTTGGCATCCCTTTTGCTGCTTGCTTACGCCCCCCCTACAGACAACCCTCACAAGCTGGATTGGCAAGCGGGGATGCGCAAAACGAAACCAACATCGAGGCCGATCCGTCCCTTGGCCACGAGAAGCCTCACCGACGCAAAGGGGGCACTAGATCTGGGGAGCGGCGACACCCTACGAAGTCGACGACGGACCCCGCGTTGCCCGTCGGTCGCGGGCGATATGCCCAAGGCCTTCGGGGGGTTCGCGATCGAAGGAAGACCTGCGGCATTGTCGGATGGGCCTGTTTACTACCACCACCACCACCACCACCATAAGTTGGAGGGGGAGGGGGTCCTCCTCCTCCTCCTCCACCTCCTCCTCCTCCTCTTCGTCCTCCTCCTCCTCCTCCTCTTCCTCCTTCCCCCCTCCAACTTATGTTGGTGGTGGTGGAAAACATGCCCATCAGCATCGTCACATTCCTGCTCGCCCACCCGCGATCGTGCGGGCAGCGGCGCGGCGGCCTCTGCCGCGAGGATGGGCACCCTGTCCTCGGTGGACCGGCGCGGGCACGCCCGGGCGGGGCGAGGCGCCGGCGGGGGGTCAAACCGGGAGGGGGGAGCAGCGAGAGAGGGAGCGAGGGAGGATGCAGGGTGGGAGATCGGAAAAAGGGGGAAGGAGGGGAGGAGGAGGAGGAGGAGGACAGGACAGGACAGGACATCCGCATGAGGGGGTCAACGTCGAAACGCCCGCTAAGGAGCCGTGGGGTACGACTTGTAAAATCCCCTGCGAGTAAAATTTGCCGCAGACCCAGACTTCTCATGGGGCCGGCAGGGGGCGTAAGGAGGAGGAGGAGGAGGAGGAGGAGGAGGAGGTGGAGGAGGAGGAGGAGGAGGAGGAGTGGGGAAGGAGTGGGGGGGAGTGGGTGAGGGACGGAAGGGAGGGAAAAGGAAGAATCAGGGAGGAGGGGGGAGAGAGATGGGAGAAGGAGGAGCACGACGTGGAGGATGAGGAAAGACGGGAGAGAACGGTTGTGGAACGGTGGCATGAGCGCGGACGCTGTGCCCTGCCAACAAAACCTCATTCAACGGCACTGAAACCGATGGTGAGCAAAACTGCGAAGACTGGCACCGAGCACGGCTGTACCTACTGGGGGCGGCGCCTCGGCAAGGAACCTGGGACAAGCCAGGGCGCCTGGGGTATCGGAACGCAGTGCCAATCAGCACCTGCCCTGAAGAAGTCCCGCGGCGCCGAGGCAGCGCACGCGGCTGCAGAGACCGGCGGGGGCCTGGGGCGACATGAGCGGAAGCAGGCACAAGCAGCGGCACTCAGCCATCGCATCGCTCGAATGACGGCGCCGCACGCGCCGCCCAACACCTCCCGCCTCTCTGAGCTCGGGGGCCCCGGCGCCCCCTCGACCACCGCGGGGGGAGCGCGGTGCCGGACGGAAAGGGGCCGGCACCACCCCCGCGGCCTCTGGGCAGCTGGCCCGCACCGTGGGAGCCTCCCCCGCCTGTGCGGCAGGTGAGAGTGACCCCGGCCCAACACCTTTCAAGCCACGTCGGGCAGAACGGGGGGCGCCCACACTGGGCTCGTGCGGCAAGGAAGGACCAGGCCCCGAGGACCGATCTGCACAATCCCAGGGACAAGCCCAGGGAGTGCAGTCTAGGGTCCACGGGACATCAACCATGCGTACCGCAGCGCAGCCCCCACAAAGGCCACGCCCTGGCGGAAGAGGAGGAAGGAGGAGGGGGAGGTAGGGAGGGAGGGCCAGAGGGAGCGGGAGGAGACTGAGTAACAAGGAGGAGGGCGAGCGGCGAACGGAAGGGGGAGGGGCGCAGAAGGGAGGAAGGCGGAGCGAGAGGGGACGGAGGAGAAGCTGGGTCGCGCGGGATGCTGCGACCCGAACGCCTGGCCCCCTCCTCCTTTACCACGTGCCACTCGGGCTCTGGAACTGGCAGCACCTGCACGCGGGAACCCTGGAGCTGGCTCAACATCAGAAACGTAGGACTCTTCGCGCCTAGTAACTATTTGATGGGGGACCCGGAGCTGCCTGGCCCCAGCGCCAGCCCCCAGGGCGGGTTTCGGCCGGCATGGTGGCTCTTCGTGCCTCCCTGACGTGCGCCGAGACATTTTGTGCAATCCGCGGCTCCGGAGGTCCTGACCCCATGCAGGGACGATTATTCGTCCTGGGTCCACTCTTGATGACCCAGGGGCCCGAAAACGGAGCCCGCAGGCCAACTTCGAAAACACACAACAAGTTTAGCAAGTATGTTGCGTCGAAAGACCCCCCGCCCGAGAGCGTGAAGCGGGGTACGCAGGGAACACCGGCACACGTTGGACCTGGCGGCCGCGGCATGCAGCCGTCATTCGTACACGACGCGAAGTGGGATACCTACAGGGAGAGCGAGCACAGTGTGGGCCAGGCGGCCGGCACGCAGGGTGTGCACGGCGGGTCGAAAGAATTTAACATCCCCAACCTTTCGGGTGGCGAACATGTATTCGCACTGGATCACGTTTTTATGGTCCTGGGGCCCTGGAAGCACCGCCCAAATGACGAAATAAACGAGACACACACATTCGAAACAGTCACATCCTTTGTGATGGGCAAGACAACGACCAGGGACTGGGACCCCATCATCATGAGTCCTTTCTCGAGCTGGATCGAGATCGATGCGCCCAGTGGAGACCGACATCCAATCAACAACGCAAGTCGAACAGACCACCTCGAGGGGGCAGTCGTCGTCGTCGTCGTCGTCGTCGTCGTCGTCGTCGTCGTCGTCGTCGTCGTTCTTTGGGAGCGTTCAAGAGAGCCGTCGTCGTCGTCGTCGTCGTCGTCGTCGTCGTCGTCGTCGTCGTCGTCGTCGTTCTTTGGGAGCGTTCAAGAGAGCCGTCGTCGTCGTCGTCGTCGTCGTCGTCGTCGTCGTCGTCGTTTTAGATTTCTGGGTGGACGCCGCCGTCCTCCACGGCTCGCGCCTCCACCGGGGACGGCATTGGCCCTCCGGCGCTGGGCGCCCTCCGGGGGCGCCCTCCGGGGGGGCGGCCCGGAGCGGGGCCCGAGCCTGGCAGGAGGAGGGAGGGGGGGGAGGGGGGGAGGGGGGGAGGAGAGGAGAGGAGAGGGAGGGAGGGAGGGAGGAGAGGAGGGGAGGCGGGGAGGGAGTGAGGGAGGGAAAAAGGGGAGGAAAGGAAAGGAAGGGAGGGAAGGGGGGAGAGAGGAGAGGAAGGGAGGCGGAGAGGAAGGTATAGAACCCGGGGGGGAGCCTACCCTAGGCCCTACCGAAGGCCCCAGGGTAGTCTACCGTAGGCCCTACCCAAGGCCCTAGGGTAGCCTAGGGTAGGCCCTACCCAAGGCCCTCGGGTAGCCTAGGGTAGGCCCTACCCAACGCCCTAGGGTAGACCTAGGGTAGGCCCTACCCAAGAGCCAGACCTAGGGAAGGCGTAAGCATGGGCTTAGGGTTAACATTGAGGTAAGGGCTACAGGTAGGCCTCCCAGACGGGTCCGAGCAGATGAGATCGGAGGATCTCGCCCCGTCACCGACGCATCGCCGAAGCGTCGGAAACGCGGCGCTGCCCGGACCCTCTTTGGGAGGAGGACGATAGTTGAGCAGGGACCGACCGTCCTGGCATCACTACAGGACCACGAAATGTCCTTAGAATCTCAAACATAATTCAACTAGAACCACGCGCGCGCTTCGCGCGCGCTTCGGCTCTAGCGTGTCACAGACACAGGAATCGCTGTGCGAAAAATACTTGGAGCTTGTCTCAGGCAAGCGAGGACTCCAGTGGCAACACCTGCTTGAGGCACTGCTGGGGACGGACCCTGTGTAGAGTATGAAAAGTCGGACCAGCTCTCTGGTCGACCCTGTTGGGCGCGCCCTGGGGCTCTCTTGGGCCGTTTTGGGGGGCCCATTGGGGGCTTGTTTTGGGGCCTCCTGTGGTGTTTTCTCGGGTCTCTTAGGGGGCCTCTTGGGGCTTTTGGGGGCGCTTCTTGGAGCCTCTTGGGGTCTCCTGGGGGCCTCTTTGGCCAAAACGCTTGAATCTTCGGTTCCTCGTGGCGCCGACTTGGGGCGTTCTTGGGCGGTTTGGGTGCCTCGGGGGCCGTCTTGGCCCCCTCGTGGGCCGTCTTGGAGCCCTCTTGGGGGCATCCTCCACCGTCTTGGGTGCCTCTTGGGCCGTCTTGGACGCAGTGGAGGCCCAAAAGGCGAACACGCCCCAAAAAAACAGTTGTCCGATAGGATATCGACGATTTTTGTGCATTTGGGGCTCTATTGGGGTGCCTCTTGGGGCGTGTTCGGGGCCTCTTGTGATGCTTTTTCGGGTCTCATGGGGGCCTCTTGGGGCTTCTTCGGCGCTTCTTGGAGCCTCTTGGGGTCTCCTGGGGCCTCTTGGGCCAAAAGGCGGTTCCTTGTCCCCGTCTTGGGCGCCGGCTTGGGGCGTTCTTGGGCGGTTTGGGCGCCTCGGGGGCCGTCTTGGCCCCCTCGTGGGCCGTCTTGGAGCCCTCTCGGGGGCATCCTCGACCAGCTTAGGTGCCTCTTGGGCCATCTTGGACGCAGTGGAAGCCCAAAAGGCGAACACGCCAAAAACATCAGTTTCCCAATAGGAAATCAATGATTTTTGCTGATTGGGGCTCTCTCGGGGTGCCTCTTGGGGCGTCTTCGGGGCCTTCGGGGGCCTTCTTGGCGTCATGGGAGTCGTCTTGAAGGCATCTGGAGCCATCGGAGCGCGTTCTCGAGCGTTCCGAAGCCATCTTCGGGCGATCTTGGACGGCCCCCGGCGCTCCGACAGGGCTCCCAGCGCGCCGGGCCCCACACTTGTGGTCGAGGTCCCGGCCCCCGGCCCGCGGACCCGGCCCCCCGTTATATATAACAAAACAATGCTCTCAGAACATCGACCCGAGGCGCGAAAACGAGACAGCCCCAGCCAGAAGCGCTCGAAGAACATCCCGTGGAAACCGCAAGAGGTTCTTTGAACATTGCTTGGTAGGCCTACATCGGCGGTGGACAAACCTCCCTTTCGTGAACCTCCCTTGGTCAACACGGCCTTGGACCGAAGCCCACGGACCTGGACCCGCAAAACTGACGGCGGCGATAAAACAGGGCTAGGATCGGGATAAATCGCTCCAGAGCGTTCCGAAGCGCTCTCAGAGCGCTCCGGAACGTTCTGGAGCGGCCGCGGCGCCCAATACATCCTCCAAACCCGCCGATTCTCAGAGATTTCGAATTATCCCGATCCGAATTTGTCCCGATCTTCGCGTCGTTTTACGCGACGCCCTCTCGCGAACCGAAGACGGCCACTCCCTCCATCGGCGTGCCCGGGCACAGAGGTCCTGCCCGCCCCCGACCACGGGCACGCCAGGACGCGCCGCCACGGCTCGGGCCGAGGAGCGGCGGGAGGAGCTGAAAGGCTGGCCATCGCTCGGACGTCCATCCCCTGTGCTTTTTGTCGGTCTCGTGCGTGGCTTTCTCCTCAAACGATCCAGGATGCTCCTCGATGACCCTCGCCGAAGGAAAAAAAAAATGCACACGTCCGAGCGATGCCGAGGGCACGCCGGCCGGCGGGCAGCGCGAGCAGAAGCGGAGGGCGGGCGCCCCGCGCCCGGCGCCGCGGCAGGAGCGGGCGCCGCCCGGCATGTCTGTGACCGCGTGCCCCTCGGCAGCGCGACCGGGCCGAGGCCCCACCGGGAGGAGCTCGACGTGCACACCACAGAGGCTCCCAACCTCGCGCTCGCGCGCTGCGCGAGGCGCGAACCGCTTCGCGCTCTCGCGCCGCCTCCCGGGGGAGAAGAGGATCCGACCCGCGAAGCGCGAGCAACTTCGCGCCCTTTCGCAAACCACCCTTTAATGAAACCTGCCTGAGACCGAAACCAGCGGACCTGGACCAGCAACGATGACGGCCGTGACGCCCTCTCGCGAACCGAGAACGGCCAATGCACTGATCAACGTATAAGGCTGGGAGGTCCATCAACCTCCGACCACTGGGAGGAGCTCGATAAGCCCTGGCTCCCTGGGTGGGGCATACGCCTAGACATCCAGCGTCCTGTGTTTTGCAATGCGCTGTCCCCGGATGTCCCGACCCTCCCCAAGGCCGATTTCATCCCGAGTACATGTCTTTTGGCGGTCCCAGATCTCGGCGAGGACCCCCTGCGGCCGAAAACTGCCACAAACCGCCGCTCAAGAGTTGCTCCCGACGCGAACACTTTAAGACAGAGCTGTGGGTCTGACGCAGATGTGTCCGCGGGGAGAGGGGCAATAGTACATGCAATAGTCGGCGCCTGGATGCAAGAAATCGCGCGATGGATGCGACAGCTGCGCGCGGATGCCGTGATGTAGCTCTGTTTTAACGCAGCGGCTGCGGGCAGAACAGCTGCTCGCTATTGCGCGCAACAATACGCAATGAGTCAACGATTGTACCTCCCTTGAGCAGAGACCGACCGTCCCGGCATTCCTATAGGCCTACCACGTAATTCTCTTAGAACCCAAAGTGTTCTTAGAACAACAATAGTGTTCTTAGAACATTGACCCGATATGCTAAAACACGACGGTCTCGGCCAGACATGTTCTGAGAACATCTCGTGCAGACCACGAAAGTCTCTTAGAGCATTCTTTGGTGGGCCTGTAGGCGAGCCAAGACGCTTCGCCACTGCTTGACTCTCGCCGCCGACCCAACCTTCGCCAGACCCACCACTCCGCCTCTGCAGTATTGAATATCGTTTAAACGATCCCCATCCCCAGCGGCGTGGCCTGGGCCCCACTGGCCGATTGACCCCCCAGGTGGGGATATAGGTCGCTCCCGTCGGGTTTCGAGGGGTGTATCCCCAGACGGGGTGGTCGTTTGGTGGGGGCCTCGAAGGGGATGGAGATGGGCAGGGGGATCGGTGAACCGACACCAGAGCATGCCTGGGCTGGGCACATCGAGCCCCTCCGCTCCACGCCGACCTGGCGCAACGGAGCCGGCGCGCCCTGGGGCCGGGCCGGTCACCGCCCCGCGTCCAGCACCACCAGCGCCTCCCCCGCCTCGGCCGCCGTGCCGTCCGGCAGCAGCACGGCCTGCCGCGCGCGCCCCGAGCTGGCTGGGACGAGGAGTAGGTCGGGCCTGGCCGATCTGCAGGGGGCATACTCCAGGGTAGCAAAGAAATGATCTTGGGACGATGTTGTTTTACTACTCTTGACCGTTTGGGGATCTTCGGGGGGTATCTACTGATCTTGTAGGGGGTATCTACTGATCTTGTAGGGGCCAGGGGGCACACTCAAGAATAGTACAAAAATGGTGTTGGGACGATTTTGTTTTACTGCTCTTGACCGTTTGGGGATCTTTGGGGGGTATCTTCTACTTTGCGCCCAAAGTCCCCCTGTAGGGGGCCAGGGCCGACCTAAGACGAGGCGGGGAGGGGGATGCCAGGAGAGAGGGAGCATGGGAGGGGGGGGGGGGAGAGGGAGCGTTGGATGCTCGTTCTCGGGACCTTCCTGGAGCCACTCGCTCCACTCGTGCGTCGAAGCTGCATCCAACGTCAGTCGAGTTGGGTCGACCCCGAGTCGAACCTGAGTCGAACTTGAGCCGAACTTGAGTCGAACTTGAATCGAACTGGGGTCGAACAGATCCGTTAGGTGGGCTCCAGGAAGGTCCCCGAAACGAGCACCGAAGGAGCGGGGACGGGCCTGGACGCACTCGCGTCGTGGCAAGATCACGTCGGGGTGCTCTTGGCTGCTCGGCCCCTGGGACCCGCGCCGGGCCCGGGGACCACACACCAAAGCGTCGGGGTGAGATGCCGGCCATGGGGAAAGGGCCGGGGCTCTCGGGGACCCCATCTCAAAGAAATCAGGGCGTCGCATGCCTGGGGAGGGAGGAAGGGGAGCAATGGGAGGTGGGGAGGGGGGGGGGCAAGGGGAGAGATTGCGTATTTGGACTCTGTGGAGCAATGGGGCCCCACGGGGCAAGTCCACCCCGTTGCGAACGCCAACCACCCGGGATGGCCCACAGGCCAGTGCAACAGGGTG